TAAGGAATACTTACAAATAAATAAATAAAAAATGAAATTGAATAAATTAAATCTTCCTTCATTGAATTCGTTAAAAATTGATTCAAGTAAAATAAATTATCAAGATGCACTTATGACTATAAATTAAGGATTATGCTATCTGCGCAAATAAAGGTTCAGAAACAAAACAAATGTTCATAAAACCCACTTATTAAATAAAAGATAAAGAACAAAAAATATGGTGTAGGTATGATACTATTTACAGAGACTGCGATTTTTGCTACTATAGGAATTATTTATAAAAACTATCTCATTCACAAAAACTTTCTATTACATAGTTGGTATGATAGTCAATATATTGTATGTCTCATAGTTAATACATGTATGCATTGCATGCTGAGTACTAAATTATTGAGCTGATCTTGGGGAAGATACTTCACTCAGCAAGCGATGCTCATCGAAGTTCCTGTACACAAGCAGGAGGCGTTTGAAGGGTGAGCCGCAACTTGTCGGCCAAGCATGCTCTATCGGATTCAGGTCTGGTGAGAATGCAGGCCATTCCATACGGGTGTTATCCTCAGATTGAAGGCATTGGTTTACGATGTTTGCTCGGTGAGGACGCGCGCTGTCATCCGTAAACACAAATTCTGAGCCAATGGCAACGGTAAACAAAAATACAGTGCGCAAAAAAAGGAGGAAAAAAACGGATCTTCCTAAATAACTTTTCAACTAATGTTGCAAAATCAGACCCAAAAACGTATTTTCTCTCAATAAAATATGTTTTGATTTCTTACTCTGAAAATGAAGGGGGTAGCTGCAATCTGGGACATATAATTCCGATAGTTCGGTCAGGAGAGCGATTCAAAGTTTGAACCCCTTAATATTAATTTTTCTTTTTGCGTATTTCGCAATATCTCCAGAACTTTTTAAGCGAATTGAAAAATTTTGCACGCAATTATAGATTTCGTTTATCCAAAGATAATTCTATCCAAAATAGAAATTTAAAAAAATATTTATTATTTTATTTAACAATAGTCGAAAATATTTTAAATTGTAAGTTATTCAATCTTTCGCATCATTTTAAGGAATGTAAATTTTTAAAAAAAAAGTCGTATTAAGGTCTTGTTGATTCTATGCAAAGACGGAGTACCGCAGTTATCGAAGCAAAAGGATATGCAACGAAATAATAAAATTCTGCTTCATTTTCTGATCTTAAGATGATTAATTTCAATAAAAGTAAAAACTGAATAATCTAAAAACATTCGCTTTTAGCTTTTCAAATTCTCGTTTCGTGTTTGTTAAATTAAAACTTCTCAAATCTATTATTAATTACTAATCTATCAAATTACTAATTGACATCATTAATTAATTTATGCTTACAGAAAAAGTTCGAACAAAAAAACATATCGTTTCAAAACTTATGCTTGCAGAAAAAGTTCGAGCAGAAAAACGTATTGTCTCGATGCTGTTGCTTTCTACTGTAGGTTGTATCCCTCAACTATAACAGCTAATTATTTGACATTGGCTTAGTATTTTAGAGTTATTTTTTGTTTTGTTGTAAAGATACATATTTCACCTCCTTAAAGAAATCATAGTAAATTCGAAAAGATATTAATAGCATTTTTTTAAAAAATAATTTCATTGAACAGGGATTGGTCAGAAATTCATCCAATAGGAAATATAAGTACTAACGTTTAATTACGGCATCGCATTGATTTATTGTTAAACAATTGAAAATATAACTCAATTTAAAATTAATTTTATTTTTAAACTATCGAAGGAAAGTTTTAGCTTAACAGCTTATTTAGTTTAAAAAAATATCTTTCTTATTCAACGACCTCTTACAATAATATTCTTATCTATTCGGATTTCTTCTATCATAACGGAAGGCTTGCTATAAAATTTCCTATAAATTAATTACGTAGTCTGGCAACGGTTATTTCGCTTTAAATGGTAGACAACCAACTACGGCATAGCATAGATTTGTAGCTGAACAATTGAAAAAATAATTTAATTTAAAAATAATTTTATTTTTAAACTATGAAAAGAAAGTTTAAGTTAAACAGCTTATTTTGTTAAAAAAATTATCTTTCTTATTCAACGACCTCTTACAATGATATTTTTATCTATTCGGATTTCTTCTATTATAACGGATGCCAGCTATAAAATTTCCTATAAATTAATTACGTAGTCTGGCAACGGTTATTTCGCTTTAAATGGTAGACAACCAACTACGGCATAGCATAGATTTGTAGCTGAACAATTGAAAAAATAATTTAATTTAAAAATAATTTTATTTTTAAACTATGAAAAGAAAGTTTAAGTTAAACAGCTTATTTTGTTAAAAAAATTATCTTTCTTATTCAACGACCTCTTACAATGATATTCTTATCTATTCGGATTTCTTCTATCATAACGGAAGCTCGCTATAAAATTTCCTATAAATTAATTACGCAGTCTGGCAACGGTTATTTCGCTTCAAATGGTAGACAACCAACTACGGCATAGCGTAGATTTGTAGCAGAACAGTTGAAAATATAATTCAATTTAAAAAAAATTTTATTTTTAAACTATGAAAAGAAAGTTTAAGTTAAACAGCTTATTTAGTTTAAAAAATTATCTTTCTTATTCAACGACCTCTTACAATAATATTCTTATCTATTCGGATTTCTTCTATTATAACGGATGCCAGCTATAAAATTTCCTATAAATTAATTACGTAGTCTGGCAACGGTTATTTCGCTTCAAATGGTAGACTACGAACTACGGCATAGCGTAGATTTGTAGCTGAACAATTGAATATATAATTCAATTTAAAATTAATTTTATTTTTAAACTATGCAAAGAAAGTTTTAATTTTACAACTTATTTCTTTTCAAAAAATATCTTTCTTATTCAACGACCTCTTACAATAATGTTCTTATCTATTATTCGGATTTCTACAATCACAACGGAAGCTCGCCGTAAAATTTCCTATAAATTAATTACGTAGTCTGGCAACGGTTATTTCGCTTTAAATGGTAGACAACCAACTACGGCATAGCATAGATTGAGCTGAGCAATTGAAAATAAAATTCAATTTAAAATTTTTTTTTTAAACTATAAAAAGAAAGTTTTAATTTTACAACTTATTTCTTTTAAAAAAATATCTTTCTTATTCAACGACCTCTTAAATATTCTTATCTATTATTCGGATTTCTTCTATCATAACGGAAGGCTTGCTATAAAATTTCCTATAAATTAATTACGTAGTCTGACAACGGTTATTTCGCTGTAAATGGTAGGAAGATGAAGCATTTCCCCATTTGCTGTTTCCGGAACTTCCAAATGACTCAGAAAAGAAGAAACTCCTTAATGAAGCTCTCAAGATACACGAAACAAGTGTGTTTTCAGATATTTTAACCGCACTTAAAATGACCGTTGAGAACAATCTTCGAGATTTTCTCATATGACATTTAATAGCAGCTGTTCCTTTTTATTTAATTTGGTTGTTTTTTTCATTCGGTTATCATGTTTTTTTCCCGACCGTGTGAAATGGAACTCTTGAAAGTGGATGATAAAGTTTAAAAGCGTTCTTATTTTAAGTGATGTTTGCGTTCTATAAAAGGATACGAAATCAATTTTTTGTGTTCGTAAATGATCTTGAGAATGAATAATAAAAAGGAAATCGGAATAGCTGAATCTTTAAGTTAATTAGGTCGGTTACACATAGCCAAATAAAGCCATTTTCATTAAAAGTCGATTTCACAGTGGCGTACTGAGGTATATGGATTACTAGGGCAAATTCCTTAGTAAGATGCCCCTGTAAAGAAGGGCATCACAATAAAGAATAAAAATTTATTTATATAAATTATAAAAACACTTACTGAAAGATATAAATTACTAAAAATATAAACTATCATTTAAAAAATTTTTTAATGCTAATTCGGTCGAAAAACAATTATTACCGATCTTTTTCTCAAATATTTCTGAGCTTTATTTTAATGGCTTAAAATCTAATAACTAAATTCGTTAGAAAATCTTATTAAATAAATCATAAAATATTTTCTTCGCATCAGAACCTGTTGAAGCATGTTAAAAAGTTCAATTTCAGATAAAAAAAAATTTATAGTAATAGGCTTACAGTTTTCTTTGATGTGAGTTAGTAAGTAAAAAGCCTATTAAAGTTAGTAAGTAAAGTGCCTTTTTCTTTAATTATTGGAAAATGGAAGGATTAAAAAAATTTCTTACAAGCCAATTGTTGTAATCTATTGCCGAGAAATTATTTTATGAATCAAAATGTAGCAATTGAATTAAAATCAACTATTTTATTAATTTACTGCGAAACAAAAAAAACTTAACTCGTAAATTTGAAATTATTTTTGTTTACATCTTTGCATGCTGAAAAAAAAAACAAGTCAAATTTACAATTTTCTAAATAAAGATTGTCAAATTTATATCTCTTAATGTTTTTCGAGATTTAAATTTACCTTAGTCGTCAATTAGGGGCTTTCTTAGACTAGATGTCAAATTTATATCTCTTAATGTTTTTCGAGATTTAAATTTACCATAGTCGTCGATTAGGTGCTTCCTTAGGCTAGATGTCAAATTTATATCTCTTAATGTTTTTCGAGATTTAAATTTACCTTAGTCGTCAGTTAGGTGCTTTCTTAGGCTAGATGTCAAATTTATATCTTTTAATGTTTNTCAATATCAATCAATCTCTGTCCAAGAAATTGGATCGTCTAAACAGGCCTTAAAGATTGTCAAATTTATATCTTTTAATGTTTTTCGAGATTTAAATTTACCTTAGTCGTCAATTAGGTGCTTTCTTAGGCTAGATGTCAAATTTATATCTTTTAATGTTTTTCGAGATTTAAATTTACCTTAGTCGTCAGTTAGGTGCTTTCTTAGGCTAGATCTCAAATTTATATCTCTTAATGTTTTTCGAGATTTAAATTTACCTTAGTCGTCAATTAGGTGCTTCCTTAGGCTAGATGTCAAATTTATATCTTTTAATGTTTTTCGAGATTTAAATTTACCTTAGTTCCTCGATTACTCTAGATGTCCTTAGGCTAGATGTCTCGAGCTAATGTCCTTTTCTCCCTTCTGACCACAGCTGCGTTTTTAGGAATAAAGTTGACTCATCAAATATTTAGTACTAATAACATTTACACTTCAAAATTTAAAAAAAAATGTTAATGAAAGAATGAAAAACAATTAATTGATAAATATTTTTTTTTATTAAATTTAAGTTCATAACTTTTTCAAAAAAATCAGGAACCGATCAAAGAGTCACGAGGCCTTGTTCTGATGGATAAAGTCAATCCCTATTTATCATAAAAACTTAGTATATTTATCATAATTAAAGTTAAGGACTGAAGTTCAAAGGTGAATTTAAAAACTGTGCACCTTACATAAATTTTTAAGTGGGGTTAGGTTTTGAGGATTTTGTTGGATATCTTTTGATGGATTTTAATTAATATTGCACTTTCTTTTACAATTTTTGCACTACTTTTTTTAATGGTATAATTAGAATATTAGTTGAAGCACTTAATCAAATTACATGTTAAGTGAAAAATGAATTTCGTAAAAAAAAAATGAATTTTACTACATAAATAAACATATTGTTTCACTAAGTTTTTCACTAAGTGAAATAGGGTACTGGAGTATCTAAATAAGTAGATCAAAACAGATCTTCTAAAACTACTACTAAACTCAGAGGAGCTACAGCCCATAGAGGGCCAAGGCCTACTGTGCCCATCTCAGTTTCTATTTTATTTTGGGCACCGGGTTGCAGGAGCAGATGTTCCGGTTGGGTGGTCAACCGAAACGGAATCCCAAACCTATACCCAAGCATGATTGGTACTCATTTTATCTACTTACTGAAGGGATGAAAGGCTGATTCAACCTTGTTTGGTCCGAGGATCGAACCCAGGACCCGTGGTACGAGATCGCTACCACACGGCCACCGAGCTTCACGATCTTCTATTAATTTAATATAAAAACTTTCCATAATTGCAAAAACGAATTAAGTATGAAATAGGATTGGTATGGGTATTAAATTGACCGTAAAAAACTACAAGAACATTATTTGCTACATAAGATTATAAAATATCTGAATAATTCATTGGTTAAATTAATTCATCATTAAACTAAGAGGTCCATTTGCATAATATTGAGTTAAACAGTAACAGTTTTATATATATCTGAATCAAAACAATTTTTTTTATGTATATCTCCAAAGTACTATTAGTAGTATATTAGTAGTATGTGTACTGGCTCTTGGCAACAACTGGTCTACAGGAAACCAAATTAAAACATCTAAAGCTTTTTTATGTTTAAAATTAATTCAATGTTTTGTTTTATATGACAAGTCGTAATTCTTCCCTTTTGTTTGTCTCTGTCAACGTCATTATTGTGAGTTGTTTTGAAGTTAACCTTCACACAACACCTATCTTGTGGTTAAAGAAAACAGAAGACATCTTTATTCACGCTTGGATTCATTTCTTAAAAGCAAAATAATGATGTAAGCGGCTTTTAAAATGACTAAACATTTTTAAAAATTATTTTTTTTATCTTTATGTGATGGAACCCACAATCATGTGCGTAATTTCACCGTTTTTACTTATTCATTTATTTACGTCATCGTGCAAATAAATGCCACATGCATTTTAAGAAATTATTTTTGGTGACATTTCGAATAATATTATTTCCCTGCATTCGATTATTTTACCAAATTAACAATATTCACAAACTATGATTCTTCATTTCTCATATTTTTTTTTCTCTGAATGGTGGATAAACGCCACATACATTTTAGGAAATTATTTTTAGTGACATTTCGAATAATATTATTTCCCTGACATTTGATTATTTTAGCAAATTTACAATATTCACCAACTATGATTCTTCATTCCTAATATTTTTTTTCCCTGAATGGAGGATAAACGCTACATACATTTTAAGTAATTATTTTTAGTGACATTTCGAATAATATTATTTCCCTGACATTTGATTATTTTAGAAAAATAACAATATTCACAAACAATGATACTTCATTCCTCATATTTTTTAAATGGAAAATTTTTAAGATACACTGGAAAAAAATTTGGTGCCTACTGTTGCCACCATTTTTGGTAATGAGCTAAATTAAATACATTTGTGAATACAGAACTCGTTATCATGCAAAAAATTATATAAATTCGACAAAATAAAAAATTTTTGAAAAAATTAATGCGAATATATTACTAAAAATGTCATTGTTTTTTAAATTAAATGTTTTTGCAATAAAGTAATAAATTGATTCTAATGCGCTTGAAAATATGTGTTGTCAGTAAATAAACAAACAAAAAATTAATAAATAAATAAATAAAACTATAACAGTGCAAAAGTAAAAAGAAATTAAATTATGAAATGTGAAATTTTTTTCAGTTTACCTCAACGCCAAAAAATTATAGCAACTATGCACTGTTCTGTGTAATTTATAATTAATAACTAATTCCATACTACACTTGCATACATATGTAATAAATATTATAGATAATTCCGTGTACATTTCTATAATTTTACCTTTTTCAATAATTTCCACAAAAAATAAAAAAAATTTTTTTTCCAAAATTGTTTGTTTTTCTAAAATTATATATTTTTTAAAAATTTTATTTCTAGTTTCTTTTGTAAATAAATAATTTAAAAACTAATCTTAAAAATGAATATTTTGACAGCATCTTACTAAACGTTTAAATTGAAATAATTTATTAATTGAAATTAAAAATATTTATCTCTAGTTGGACAAGATAAAAAAAAAATGATAGTAATCATATTAAAATCACTTTCCGCGGATTCGAATAGGGTTTGAAACCATCAAGTGTCTATGCAAGCTTAGATTATTTCTCTTCGATATGTTTACCCTTTCATTTCAACCAATGGAAGCATCCTGTTCACTTACATTCGCCTTTTATTTCATTTGAGTTGTGTGAGTACATTAGCATCGAATACTTTTTTGAGGCAATTGTAAATATTTTTTTTTGTTTCAGTTTCATTTCATATCGCGATTAAAATTTAAAATTTTATTTCTATAATGTTAGGAACAAAATCTTGAATGTATAAAAAGTAATGATAGAAAAAAACATCTTCAAAAATAAGCGCGAAAAATATTTTCTTTGCAGGGGATACATTGCAGAGAATCCTCATATATTCTTAAATATATAAAGATGCCTTGATCTAGTTCAAAAATCCGACTTTTTTCACAGCACCAGGCTAATTTTATTTTTATAAACGTCGTTGAGCAGCCGACCGAATTTTGAATTTATGACTAACAATATTAAATAGTCGTGTAATTTCGAACCCAATCCAGAAGACAAGGAAACTCCTGGATAAAGTTATGAGAGAAATTTGCCCTCGTGGTGGACTCTTAAATGAAACTTACCCACATTTGCGTTATATGAAAAGAAAAACTATGAAAACCTTTAACTGTTAGCCTAACGACTAAGGCGACTCTAACCCGTGATCAGACTACCACTGAGGTTATTTTACGTCAGCACTGTGGTCGGTGCGAGCTGGGTGCGGAATTCGTATCGACTAGCCATAGCTGGAATTTGAACTAGGTTTACTTCATCGAGAGGCGAAAGCTCTATCCCTTGAGCCACTACGGCTCGCACTAGCCTAATTGGAATATTTGCTACCAATAGAAAATTTTAGTATCTTTAATGTTCTTGATATTTTTAAGGTACAAACATCCTTTTTATATGCTTTTAGGTTAAATGGGAAATGTGGGAAAAACTACTCAATCAGACTTAATTTGCTTAGGCTTATTTAACAAAATTTTGATAAGGCCTTCACCAGTCTGAGCTTATTGCAAACTGCTTGAAATATGAGAAGCTAATTGAGCAAAAATGATCTATTTTCTAATTAGAAAAAGTATGTATGTTCACTGTAGTGTCAGAGGCTGATTAGTAAATACTGGAGATTTTCCAAATTAGTCTAGCGCAGTCTTTCCCAAACTTATGACTTTACACTTTTTAAATTTTTCGTAACGCTGTGTACCACTAATAAAAAAAATTATGTATTTCTTGCTACAAAAAAAATAGCACAAAAGTTAAAAATCGCAACTGGCTGTTGACACCACTAATTATTAACTGTTAACTCTGCAAAAAATAGCCAATAGAAAAGTACGTAATCGTAAATTTTCATGGTTAACTTTGCTTTTAGTAAAATTTTTTTGAAATTTTCGTTTGTTACAAGATATTTTGCATAAGATCGCGTACCCCCGCTAAACTGTTTCTGTACACCTGGGGGTACGCGTACCACACTTTGGGAAACACTGATCTAGCGCATTCCAAAATGACAATTTTGATGCAAATCGAAATTTCGGTGGCGCCATGCAAATGAAGATCACCTTCATTTTCGTCACTAGGCCAAATTATCCAATTCACCGCCGGCATATATCTACTTGATACCTTACAAATTTAACCATTACAAATTTGTAACCTTTCTTCGTTATACTCTACCAATTTCTCCCAGAAAAAAAGCATGTAGCTTTTGTTTTAAAAAGTGAAAGTGGGATTATTTTCTTAAAGAATGATATAAGTAAATTAAAGTTTTGAAGGCGTTAAGCCAAGTAGTGATTTTCCTGTAGATATTACCTGCCACCTCCGCATATTTGCAACGCGTGTCACAATTTTCGTCGCCCCTGCATCGGTAACCAATCACAGCACTTACTTTTTAAACACAAGTCATTTTCCTGTATATTATGACAATGATCTAACTAAGCAGTTTTAAGAATGACTTCATGCTTTTTATTTTGAGATTTTAACAATTTATAAACGATGACGCTATACAGTGATTTATGTATGACAAAATAATCGAAATCGTTTTAGACTTAATACGAGATACCATACGTTAACATCTAAGAACTGAATAATGTTTTTTTCTCTTTTTTGTAAATTAAACAATTAAAAGTATACACAAGTCTACTTATGTTAATGTTAAAAGTATAAAAAAGCATCACAAAAAAATTGTAAAACCATAAAATGTACCGAGAAATACATTTTGAGAAACATTTTTATGTAAATAAAGAATGGGCATTCATTTAAATTGAAAGGGGAACCTGTAATTGAA